GTGCCATTCCACATTATTACAAATAACTTCATTTCTGAACATTTATGGTTTGATTTCTTTGTATGTATGGATCACTTGGGTTGTTACCAACAACTGGTGAAAATTTCATGTCATTAGCACCTCTAGTAATAAATTTACTGAGAAAAATGTTGAAATGTTCAATACTTATTTTACCCGCTGTAGTATGGCACCATATAATCATCTAGCTTTAAAACAACGGAAAATCCCAGATTACTGTGTTTTGCTGAAGAATAAATGCATACATCTACAGCTACATGTTGGGTTTCCAAATGCTGTTTTTTTTTTTTGTAGTTCTTTTCAACAACCTATTCAACACAACAGATATGTTTTATATGTCAACAAGCAAAAAAATTAGATGGTGATGTCAGATAATGTAACCAATGCAAAAGCTTAGATGTATAAAAATTGCAACGTTAAAAACAAACTAAATCCAAAATTTTACTGTCTATTTACCCCATTTTTTTGCATTTTAAAGCCCCGTCAGCCATCACAATAACAACTTGTGCCGAAGATTTTATGACTAAGTTACTCGTATGTTTATATTCGATCTAATCAGTGCCATACACTGTGTATAAGTCCAAAAGCAGCTAGTAGATTTTTTTTATTCCATCTTCAAACATAGACATCTTCAGTGTTGGGCAAAATTTTCATAAGTTTTTATAAGTTGTCTAAAACGTTAGTGTGACATGGCCTTTAGCTAAAAATGTTACCACAAAACAAGGTTGATTCAGACTTTAATAAACTAAATAATTGATTCTTAGCATGTGAAATTTAATGCAGCTGCTAATACTGCTGAAGTGGGATTGAACTAATTTGACATAATGTTGAATAGGTCTAAAGGAAATATAAATTTCCTTTATTTAATGAACAGATCTGGACATTAAATTTCAACATTTTCGAGTGCAGAGTTAAAAGATTAAACATTTTCTGTCTCGAACTAAACCACGGCTGCCAATTTGACTCAACCAACTTTGGTAGAGTCAACATGTTGAAATGTGGTCATGAAATGATGTTAGACTCTGTGAAGAGTAACCAATAGGTCAATAATGTTTACACCTCAAAAACTTGTTAACAAACTTGTCCAGGAAGAGCAGAATTCTTTTTTTAGTCTGTAAAAATCCACAACAAACTAAATTTACCCACGCAGGATCAAACTGAGTCCTATAAAGGCCGGTTAGTGCTTAGATGAGGCACTCTTAAGCCCTGCCTTTATGAATAATCTGACTTCAGGTCCATAATATTAGAAGTTAAAAATCGTTTTTATTTTAACATTTTTATAAATATATGACCTAGCAAGACATTAATATTAAACATCCATCCATCCATTATGTATACCTGCTTCTTCCATTCAGGGTCACTGGGGCCACTGGTGCCCATATCCATCAGTCACTGTGCAAGGGGCGGGGTACACCATGAACAGGTCGCAAGTCAAATATATTATACTAATATTTGTATTAATATAATAATAATAATAATAATATTAATCCGCCTGTCGGAGATCGACAGGTGGATTGGCGCAGCGTCTGCTGTAAAGCAGGCGCTGTACCAGTCCGTCGTGGTGAAGAGAGAGCTGAGTCAGAAAGCGAAGCTCTCGATTTACCGGTCGATCTACGTTCCTACCCTCATCTATGGTCATGAGCTTTGGGTCATGACCGAAAGAACGAGGTCCCGGATACAAGCGGCCGAAATGGGTTTTCTCCGCAGGGTGTCTGGGCTCTCCCTTAGAGATAGYGTGAGAAGCTCGGTCATCCGGGAGGGACTCAGAGTAGAGSCGCTGCTCCTCCACGTCGAGAGGAGCCAGTTGAGGTGGCTCGGGCATCTGGTAAGGATGCCTCCTGGACGCCTCCCTGGTGAGGTGTTCCGGGCACGTCCCACCGGGAGGAGGCCCAGAGGAAGACCCAGGACACGCTGGAGGGACTATGTCTCTCGGCTGGCCTGGGAACGCCTTGAAGTTCCCCGGGAGGAGCTAGAAGAAGTGGCTGGGGAGAGGGAGGTCTGGGCCTCCCTTCTGAAGCTGCTGCCCCCGCAACCCGACTCCGGATAGGTGGAAGAAAATGGATGTATGGATGGATAATAATAATAATTTAATATAACATTAAACAAGACTTATGTGTTATGAAAAATAAGATCTTTGGTAACATGGGTGATAATGTGATTGAGAAATCATGGAGTGAGTTTTTTGTCATTAATGTAGTTTTTGATTATGAATATACAGAATATCAATAATATATTTAAACCACAAATGCAGATCCTGTTCTCTTCTCATTGTGGCTATTCAGGGATTTATTTGTACACACAAAACTGTAAATTTACCAAAGCAAAGCAGGAAATACACTTGTTGACTTCAGTGTTCAATATTACACTTATTGTTACTGTAACCAAAATTTTAGTTGCAATGTGTTTGCAACCATTGATCTGAGAGTAAACAACATCACTAAATGGACTGGCCTGGACAAATGAAAATTTGAAGCGAGACCAATGTTCTGCAAAGGTTGCAGATGTTTACCATCAGATCCAGTCTACTTTGCCAGGATGATCCCACCCACAGAGCGGGGGACCCAGTTACAATGGACACACAGCTACACCTGAGAAGAACCAAGTAGAACTGAAGCGATCACAGTGAGGAAAATGAGTGAGTGAAAAGGCAGTGGATATTTGTTCCAACAATTACTGATATGAAGTTCCTCGGTGCAATTAACTCATCATCAAAGGTTAACAACAAACGGAGAAGTTATGTTTTGCCACCACCAAGACCCAAAGGCAGGCGATGATGGTTTTGGATGTATCTGTGCTTGTGTGTGTTGTAGGGCTGAGCAACAAAACAATAACAATATACTGTGTATGACGATAGAAAGGTGATCAATCAATAGAGAATACATCCAATGTAATGTTGACAACTTGCTTGAAGTCTGATCCAGAACTGCACAGCATTCTGGGAAATGTAGGCAGAGGAAAGACTTTAAATCAATCTTTTCAATTTCTCACAGCCCAGCTAAGCAAAGCTGGTGGCATCAACTAACTCACGTGTTTGTGAGCTAGCAACAACCTGCTGAGTAAAGTGCAGTAGCATATTCAGGTTTTGCCACCGTGCCTCATAAATGCTTCAAAATAAAAAAGAACGGTGTGGAGTGAAAGGAGAAAATGAGTGCAACAAATCACGAGCAAATTGTAAAAAAGTAAAAGTGAACAACATACAAATGGATCTAACTCTCAGTTTGATAAATACTGATCTAATGTTTGGTGTGACTGGAGCCGACTTCGACCTTTAACACACTGCACAAGATTTCTAATGAACCTTTTGCCAATAACTATTTAAAATCACTTCTGTCTGTCGGTTAGCAAATCTTTTCATGAATCACAGGACATACAGTATAATGAGACTGTCATATATGTATTCATTGGATGTACCTCTACAACTGAATAACTTGAAGCCAATAGTCAAAATGGCTGCTACAGCTAAAATTTGGTGGGCTTGTTGCAGAGTCATTCGGTATACCCTGAGCTTGATATCTTACAGTATCACCTACTGTTATTTTCAAAGTTTGAACACAACGGTGATGATCACAAAAACCACGTCTTTATGAAAGACGGAGGGTGATAAACATTCCTTCAAGGAATATATTTTCCTTTGCAACACATTTATATTTCTGTTTAATAATTTTAGTGCCAAACATGCTCTGTAAATTGTTTTTTTTTTAAGACAATTGTGTTGAGTAGTCTACTGAGATGGACTTGATTGTGGAAAGCTGAGATCATGGACTCACAAACACACCTTCAACTCTGTCTGCACACAGCACCTTGGCTTTCTTCTTCATAATGTTTGGGATAAGGATATCCTTCTCCACGTGCCTCAGGTGCATTTCCTCTGAAAAGGTGGGGAATAGGAAAAGGATATTCAGCACATCAATAAACACTTATAATCCTCTGTTTCTGTTTAACAAATGTCAAACTGGAGGTGCTGTATGTGTGTTCATGATGTATCCATGCAGGCAGCATGTTCGAACAGAAGTCTGAAGAAGACAACTAAATAAAACAGATAAACTCACAGATAACCTTTTGAGGTGAACACATAAAGCTAAATATGCGGAATAAGTCGCTACAAAAAGACTACAAACAGTGTTATCCCAAAACTGAAGCCACATGTTTACCTTTTTTTTAGCTAGCGACCTAGCGTAAACACCAAGCTAACCTTAACGTTCTGCTTATAAAACACGCGAAACACTTGGGATATATTTAATGTTTTAATACCTGTGTTTGTTGACTCCATTATCGTGAAGCTTCTCAAAACATTACAAAACAAAACCTACTGTGACCTTAGCCTTGTAGAGATCGCAACACTTCCGCTGACGTAATGGTAGGCGGAGCCTAAAACACACGGAGTTCGAACTGCACTTCCTACTAATTTCGCTTGCGTTTAAAACAGTGGAAATAAATAATAGGTACAAACGCATTCAAATTTTAAAATATAAATGTTTAATGATATTTATTCTCTTTTGACTTGATTTGCTTCATTTATACTGAATTCCACAACATTCATTCATTCATTCCAGTCAGGACCTAATAATAATCATAATAATCAGTGACAAAGGCTGCTGGATAAAACCCTCAATGCCCGCACTAAATAGAAACCCGGATTGAAATAGAAAAAAAACAACAACTTAGAGCTGACTTTGCATTAACATTTGTATTTTATTTTTGCAAACTTTGCATTATTATAAATAACATGGTTTCAGCATGTTAAATGACATTATGGAGCTGTTAATCAAACAAATGCATTGGTGTTCCCGTTAGTGGGCTTGCTCTCCTTTATTTATTTATGTTTTTATTACTGGCTGCCACTGAAAGAAAAGGGCAACTAAACAAAAGTTTTATGCTTTTTTTTAAAGCAAGTCAGCAGTGAAAATGTATTTTGTCATGACCTGAAGCCTGTGTTCAAATCTAATTTATTCAAATAGCACATTAAACAATTCTCACTGACCAATGCTACACATATAGTGATAAACAGTACAAATATAACACAGGCATAACATCATTTAAACATGCAAAATAGTCATGTATTAAAAGCAACTGTGAACAAATGTGTAATGACATCCAAATTCACCAAAATGCAAAAGCCTGTCTGTGAATGAAAGGACATTTTAAAAGCTGCATAATTCAATTTTAAGTGTTTGCTGCAACACACATTATTTTTATTGCAGCTTTTTTGTTTATTTTATCTGTTCACCTTATACTTTCCCATATAAGGGTATAAATGGGGGTCATGTGATTGGGAGGTGCACTTATACCCACTATTCTGTGCTCTCAGTGAGAAACTTTTTTTTTTCCTTGGTGGAGGTGTTTTGTTTGTTTTGTTCATTTCTCTGGGCATGTGTTTTTTTTATTTTTTTATTATGCCAATCAGGTCACATGTAATCACATACAATGTTGTGAACCACAGCTCCAAAGATATCAAGTGCACCAGTTTTTTTGTTTCTGTTTGTGTGTGTCTGTACCCAGTATCCTTTGCAGCTACACAATAATAATCAACAGCAATCAACATAAAATAATGAGGGAAAAAGGAGAACACTGAACACCAATAAACAATTAAATCAAATACACAAAAATAATTATAAATAAAAACTTTGAAAGTATGCAAAACAGTCAAGTGTTATGCTGTATTAAAGTTACAATCACTATTCTTTGCTTTAACCAATGCTGCTGAAAGAATGGAGGCAGAATATGGGAAATTGGACAAAATGATGGCAGCATTGGATAGGAAACAACTTAACTTGTATAATGTATTGTTTTGATATAGACTCTGGGACCTTGCTTTCCAAAGAAAATGCAAAATGGACTTTCATCAGAGAACATAACTTTGGACCATTCAGCAGTACAGTACACTGGGGATAACTACAGTACTGTTAGAGTCCACCAATTCTGTCATCTCAGCAAAACACCTCATAAACCATGATACAGATTTTAATGAAACTCATGAAAAATCATTGGATCGACTGATTAAATTTTGGAGTCAACTCAGTTAGCTCACATAGCCAACACAAAAATAGCTAGTCTACAGCCAAATGTAGAGATATTGAGCTAACATATAGTATTTGTAAGTATTTCACCTTGAACTTTGCACTCTGCTTGTATTTGTACTCTGAGGTCGGAATTTCGGACTTCCGAGTCGGAAATGTCAACTGGAATTACAAATGTTGTAATTTTGAGTCAGGAAGTCTGTGCATTGCAACCATACCTGACCACACATGACATCATCATTTCAACATGGCTGCTCCTTGCATCATTAGAGAGGAAAACTCTTTTGTTTTACAGTTTTTAGCAGTTCTGTGTTGTTTCAGTCAGTCGTACTTAGCTACAGCGGGTAAAATAAGTATTGAACACATCACCATTTTTCTCAGTAAATATATTACTAGAGGTGCTAATGACATGAAATTTTCACCAGATATCAACAACAACCCAAATGATCCATACATACAAAGAAATCAAACCATAAATGTCCAGATATGAAGTTATTTGTAATAATGTGGAATGGCACAGGGAAAAAGTATTGAACACACTTACTGAAATTTATCTAATACTTCGTACAAAAGCCTTTGTTGTCAATGACAGCTTCAAGACYCCTCCTGTATGGAGAAACTAGTGGCATGCATTGCTCAGGTGTGATTTTGGCCCATTCTTCCACACAAACAGTCTTCAAATCTTGAAGGTTTCGTGGACCTCTTCTATGAACTCTGATCTTTAGTTCTTTCCATAGATTTTCTGTTGGATTCAGGTCAGGTGATTGGCTGGGCCATTCCAGCAGCTTTAGTTTCTTTCTCTGAAACCAGTTGAGAGTTTCCTTGGCTTTGTGTTTGGGCTCATTGTCTTGCTGAAATGTCCAGCCACGTTTCATCTTRATCATCCTGGTAGATGGAAGCAGATTTTATCAATAATGTCTCTGTACATTTTTCCACTCATCCTTCCTTCAATTATTTGAAGTTTGCCAGTACCATATGCTGAAAAACAGCCCCACGCCATGATGTTCACACCTCCAAACTTCACTGTTGGTATGGTGTTTTTGGGCTGATGTGCAGTGCCATTTGACCTCCAAACATGATGTGTATTCTGGCATCCAAACAGTTCAATGTTGGTCTCATCTGACCAGACTATATTCTCCCAGTATTACACAGACTTGTCTAAATGTTGTGCAGCATACTTTAAAGGAGCTTCAACATGCTGTTTCTTCAGCAGTGGAGTCTTGCGTGGTGAGCGTGCATACAGGCCATGGTGGTTCAGTGCATTACTTATTGTTTTCTTTGAAACAAACGTACCTGCTAATTCCAGGTCTTTCTGAAGCTCTCCACACGTGGTCCTTGGCTCTTGGACAACTCTTCTGATAATTCTTTTCACTCCTCTGTCAGAAATCTTGTGAGGAGCACCTGGTCGTGGTCGGTTTATGGTGAAATAATGTTCTTTCCACTTCTGAATTATGGCCCCAACAGTGCTCACTGGAACCTTCAGAAGTTTAGACATTCTTCTGTAACCGATGCCATCATTATGCTTTGCAACAATAAGGTTGTGAAGGTCTTGAGAGAGCTCTTTACTTTTACCCATCATCAGATGGTTCTTGTGTGATACCTGGCCATCATTTGGGACTGAACCAGTTGATATTAACTTTCACTGACAAGGGGCAGGCTTGCTTTCTAATTACTGAGAGAGTTCAGCTGGTGTCTTGGCTTTCCATGCCTTTTTACACCTCCCTTTCTTCATGTGTTCAATACTTTTTCCCTGTGCCATTCCACATTATTACAAATAACTTCATTTCTGGACATTTATGGTTTGATTTCTTTGTATGTATGGATCACTTGGGTTGTTACCAACATCTGGTGAAAAWTTCATGTCATTAGCACCTCTAGTGATATATTTACTGAGAAAAATGTTGGCATGTTCAATACTTATTTTACCCGCTGTACTTTATAGTGATTATTAGGCGGTGTCTTTTAACGCTGTTTATACACTTAAAATAAGGTACAAAGCACTATTGTTGTGTTTTTGCTGCATTATTCCGTCACATTATCAACTCAGAATTGACATCAGTCTGACTTCACAGTTTAGAGTTCAGCTGCATCTGGAACGCAACATCACTTAAAGTAATCACTGAGTGTAAGCTCATTTCAAAATGGCTGCCAAAGCTAAACCAGCTTAGCCAACACAACAAATGGTTATAGCTTTACAGATACTGAGCTAAAATTTTGTGTGACTGCAGCTGAGATTTATCCTCAACAAACTGAGATCTCACAATAGCACACAACTGTGCACAGCGTCATTTACAAGGTTGGTCCAAAATATCTATAACTTCATCCCTTTTTTGAATAAAAGAAGCTTGGATTAAAACTCTTGAATGACAGCAGACCATATGCTTTCAGCAAGGCATGCTATGCACTTCATTTGATTTATGTGGGAGTTTTTTTTAATTCTCATGTCTACAAATGTGCTGGCTTTGCTTTTTTTCAGAAAGCGATTTCTTGAAAAATCTGCAGGTGCTCACCTGGTGTAAAATGACACGCAGAAGAGTGTGCTGACTGAACCTGGAGAGCTACATGCATGGGTCTGGGTCTCGTGTGAATAACAGAAGTGCAGGCTGGCTTGTGGTCTTTTTTGTTTTTATAAAATGTCTGTTTTCTTCTCGTAAAAAAATATGTTTTTTTCTCTTTTTGCCCTTTGATTTGAAGATGAAAGGAAACTCTTCTTCACAGAGGAAAACGGTAGGTTCAGTGATGTGAGGTCAGCAAGCTGTGAGCTTTGGGCAGACAGGTAACAGAGTGATTACATCACTTCTGGTGGTGGTTTGTGTGTGTGTGTGGATGTGTGGGTGAGTGTGAGTTGTCGGAGCGCACCAGGTGCAAGGTGTGAGTGGTTTGAATGTGGAGGTGGATAGTTTACACCTGTTTCTTAAAGCATGCATAGGGACTGTCTTGTGCTTCAATGTGTGTGTGTGTGTGTGTGTGTGTTTGTGCGTGTGTGCCTGCCTGCCTCTTTGATTGAACAGGTGGAGCTGCCGTGCATGGGATCGAGACACACAGCTGACTGTGGTCGGTCTCGCCGAGCTCAACATGCAGTCTGTGGTTCAGGCTCTGATCCTTTGGTCGATGTTCTTTCAGGAGAATTTTGCTGCATTGTCACCTTGTGACCCATCAACAGATTTCTTTGAATTGTGCACTAATTTGCATAGAAAACACACAAGAAAGTAAGCAGCTGTTACATAAAAAAGGGATTTTCTTTTGAAACATAAGCAATTGCAACTTATAAAGCTTCTTAAACCCCAAGGAGTTTCCTTAAAGTTTGTGCTCATCACTATCTGGCCAAATGGAAATAAT